GCTTTTGACTTTGCCGTCACTTTTAGAAAGTTTTCCAATCCACTATTTGAAAAATATTCACCAATTATTTTCTTCCAATATTCAATCTTCAAAAACTAAAGGAAAAAAACCCCAATATATTATAGCTGGAATTCATCTGGGAGTAAGCTGTGAGGTGAGGCTGTTGTTTCTTCCCCTCAAGTGGCTACCCAATTGTCCTCCTTTTAATAATTCATCCTTTCTCCACTGAGGTAGATGTGAAATTGTGAGATGCCATTGTTTTTATATAAGTATGTACACACACACACACACACACACACACAGGCTTTTTTCTCCTTCTTTTAATAAACAATACGTTTTGGACCTGAGCCAATCCCAATCTTCAGCCAAACATTCTTAAGGAACACTGAAATATTTTTATTACGTCCAGTAACTAATTTGATACTAGGTACACAGTAATTTGGTATTAGTACTCAAGTAATACTGGATACATTTACTAAGGAAATGACCCAATACATTTGCCCAAGCCACATTACAACTCAATTTAACTATGTCTGGCTTCCCTGGTGGCGCAGTGGTTGACAGTCCACCTGCCAATGCAGGGAACACAGGTTCGTGCCCCGGTCTGGGAAGATCCCTACATGCCGCGGAGCGGCTGGGCCCGTGAGCCTATGGCCGCTGAGCCTGCGCGTCCGGAGCCTGTGCTCCGCAACAGGAGAGGCCACAACAGTGAGAGGCCCGCGTACCGCAAAAACAAAAAAGAATGTCAATCTACTTATGCAGAAGTTGATAATCACTTTTTTAAAAGGTTGGCTTCTGGAAGATTCAGAATAGTGCGTCAGGATTCTCTTCCGAAAGCCTTCAGAATCCTGGGAGTCCAAAGGGTCAGAAGGGACACAGGAAGAACCCATGTTAGGCTCGTTCACATCTAGGGAGAGAGATGCTGCCAGAAGAGCCCATGGAGCTGATGAAAACAGGTAGTAGGAGACTCTCTTTAGAAGTCCTCTTAATTTTTTAACTAGGGTCTCGATTTTGAACAGTATCGCTTTGGATTTAAATACCCTGAGTGATTTAGATGCAGCAGAAAAAAAAATAAGAAAAAGCTACAGAAAACTATTTATAGTTGTTTTGTGGCCTCGGAAAAGCAAAATGCTTAATTCCTGAATCCCGGAAAACAGTTTATATTCTTGGGATGGATTGCGGAGGGGAGGGGAAGAGGAGGATTTTCTCCCGCGACATTCTATTCTAACGCTTGCTCTAGCCGTCCACAATACTTTTGGGTTCACTGGGCCGAACCAGATCTCTCAACAGATTTTACCCAAAACGCTAAGTGCGGGAGGCAAAGCCAGATATACGAACATCCCGCAACTCTAACCTCTAATAGCTCCTTCGTGGCAGGCGGGACACCAGCCCAGCGAAGTAATGAAAGAGCTAGACCTGGTGCCTTTGTGTAGGGCGGGGCATTTCTGGCTGAGATCCGATTTCTGGCGTCAGCTCCACCCACGCGTCAACTCCCTCTAGGAAACATCTTTATTCGACTTCCTCTCATCCAGGCCGCACCTCTTGCCCCAATTCCCTCACAGCATCTCTCGGTACTGTGTTTCATTAACCTCACAGTCATTTTCTGACTCCCTACTAAGGGCCGCAGTTTTAAGAGTTACTGCCGCGTCACCTTAGCAACCGTGTCTCTAATGGCCGCCGGAAGAGACTACGATCACGTGCTCCCTGAACGTCCGGATTTGTAACGTGACTTCCGGTTGTCAGAATTTCCCCAGACGCGGCGACTGCCGAGGAGGAAAAGCTGTGTGGCCCGAGGTCGCCGTGGCCCCAGGGGTTGTGGGCTCCGGGTGGGCTCTTCTCATCCTGCCCCGTCTGCGATGCATCCGCGGCGCCCGGACGGATTCGATGGCTTGGGCTATCGGAGTGGTGCCCGGGATGAGCAGGGCTTTGGCGGCGCTTTCCCTGCAAGGTCCTTCAGCTCCGCGTCGGACCTGAGCCACTGGGTGACAACTCCCCCAGACATCCCGGGTAGCCGCAACCTGCACTGGGGCGAGAAGAGCCCGCCCTACGGTGTGCCCGCCCCCTCCACCCCGCTCGAGGGCCCAGCAGAGGAACCCTTTCCCCGCGGCGGCGGCGGCGGCGGCAGCAGCGTGCCAGGGCAGAGCAGCGGTGAGGGACCTGGGGCGCACGGTAGGGGCGGGTGGAGTCGGGAGCCGCAGCATGGGTCCTGCAGACCCCGGAAGCCGCGCGGAGGGTCCCGCCTCCCGACCTATCGCGCGCCACACCCTCTGCCCTTCTTTAGCCCTCTGCCCCTGAAGCGGGCCTCCTCCCGCTTCTTTACACCAATGTTTTCTCCGGGATCACTTCCAAAAGACGATTGACTTAGCTGTGGTCTGCATGGTAGGATTTCGGAGGGTTTTGGCATATTACATTCCATGACCTGAATCAAGAAAGACGGAAATGGTTTACTGTTTATTAGGAATCATATGAAAAATACCTAATTGACCAACAGCTATATTTCCTTGAAATGTGGAAGGAAAGAGAAGTATTTCCAGCAAAGGCAGTCTTGGGCTCAAATCTGCCTCTACCACTCTTAAAAGCTGAGACTTTCTTAACCTCTGGGGTTTCTTAGTGTTCTCATCTTTAAGGTGTGTAGAAGAATAACTCAGGGTTTTATAAGTGTCAAAAAAATGAGGTGTAATGCCTAGTACAGTATGGAGCACACAGTAGGCTAAAAGTGTATCTTTCCTTTTTCCATTTACTCATAGTAATTGTATCTGTTCTAGATCCCCAAACGACCCCTGTATTTTCGCACCTCCTGCTTTCTTTCTCTGACTTAACTCCACTGAAAAGTCAAAATCACTAAGAGATTTTCAAGATAAGTCTTTGGAATCAAGACATAATTATTCTCTGTAGCATGTCAGAAGACTTGTTTTAATTTCAACACTGTATGATCTAGATATTGTCAACATCCGCTGTATTCGTAAAATGGAAATAATGCCTGCATCTTCCCATTCTCCTGAAATTGTTAAAATAATAGATTACATCCTTAAATATTATGTATATTCCAGACATAAATTGTATTCTCATTTCTTTGATTTCGACTTGGAAATACAGTAATATTTATGTGATTTGGGTTACTGGGAGGAATAGACTTCAAATGTCATCCATTGAGGATAGATGGAGGAGGATCAGTGACTTGCTCAGTGTCATACAGTTAGTTTTTTCACTCTGTCTAGTTTTTTTTTTCTACAGGTCCCAGAAGGAGTGCTGGAAAGTTATAAATGATTGAAAATGCATGTACGATTGCTACACAGTTACCTTCTTAGGCAGTAAAGCTGATGTTTTAATCTTTTCATAATGTATGCTTTGATGGTTACAATGAGGGGGAGCTCTTAATAACCAGGGTTTTTTTGTTTTGTTTTGTTTTTTTGCGGTACGCGGGCCTCTCACTGTTGTGGCCTCTCCCATCGCGGAGCACAGGCTCTGGACGTGCAGGCTCAGTGGCCATGGCTCACGGGCCCAGCCGCTCCACGGCACGTGGGATCCTCCCAGACTGGGGCACGAACCCGCGTCCCCTGCATCGGCAGGCGGACTCTCAACCACTGCGCCACGAGGGAGGCCCCATAACCAGGGTTTTGTGGGGGGGGGGTTTGCAGCAGTTTAGAGGCTGGTGAATAACTGCAAAGAGGATAGAAGCCTGAGAGACTTACACAGTTAACAATAGTAAACCTTCCTAACACCTTCCAGAAAATGTCAGTGGTATTTTCTGTTAATATTAGTAGATGCCCTGTACACACACAAAAAGGGAAAAGCTGAAAGAAGGAAAGTATCTTAATTGGGCAAAAGAAGCTTCTCTCTACCTTGCACGTTTTTCAAGGCAATAGTGAACCAAGTGGTTTCCCCAGAGACTGTTTATGTGACCTTGTTCTGTCTGTCAGGGAATAGTGAGGGCATTACTTCATTCAAAAGAGCAGAGATGAGAGGGAGGGATTGGAGAAGAGAGGGGAGAGAGAAAAGAGGATGAGAGAAAAATTATCCCTTGTGAATATTGTATTATAGCTGAAATTTAATGTCTGGTCTCTTGGGGTTGTGATATTTCACCATCATGATTTTAAGTTTTCCAGTTAAGGAGGAAAAGGTTTTATTTTCTGTTTTGACATATGCATAGGAATTTTACAGCTGTAAACTCTTCTAATAAGACTATAGATATGCCATCAGCTATAGTGCATATGGACGCAGTAGTCTATCACCGAGACCTAATTAAGCAGCTACTATCAAAGTATTTAAAACTTGGGGAAATAGAGAAGAGAGCCTTATTTACCCATTTCAGTTACCCTAAGTGCTCTTTCAATTTAATAATTTTCATGGGTATTTTTGCTTGCAACTAGTGTCTTAACATAGATGCTCTCCATCAGTAACAGTGAAGGACGAATTTTCTAACATGGGAAGTAAAGTTGGTGAAAGTATCAATCAGAGTCTTCTCTAGAAAAAATTTTAAATTATTTGTAGTCAGAAGTTGAAAACTGGTAGCCCTTAGATTCTACCTGCAAACGTGTTTGATTTGGTCCACACAACATTTTAACGCTTTTTAAAATAGTTGCTAGTATTTTAAGATTGGAAGATGCTATATAAAAATGAGAATATCTCTTTAGAAAAATCACAGCTTTGAAACCTTGGACTCAGAGTCCCATGTGGCAACAATGGATTGGAGCTGAAAAGCAGTTGGGCCTTTAGAAGGTATACACCTTGCAACTTGCCACAAGCCTCCACAGTAGCTCTTCACTTCCTCAGATGGCCTCTCTGGCCCCTATCAGAATTTGATTTTGGTACATGGAGTTTAAATGAATATCATGTTAAAAAGAAAATACTTTTTGTTGTTTTCACAGTAAACCTAAATAATGGTTATGAGTAATCTTATTCCTTCTGTTTTAGAACAGCTGAATAGATTTGCTGGATTTGGTATTGGACTTGCAAGGTAATTTTGTTTAAAGATTTTTAATTCAAGTTTTTATTTAAAGTTCTTTCTTTAATTTATAATGTTAGGTAATTAGTATTGCTTTCTTTAGAGCAGTAGTTAAAATATTGAAAACTATTTTGTGGAAAAAAATTATTATTTAAAATCGATAACTTGATTCTTTTTCCCAGTAAGGACAGAGAATAGTCATTCAATTTTATAAACACAAAATAATTTTGTAAGGAATATTGTAAGAAGTTTCATGTATCTATCCAAAGAATAAAGTAAAATCTAATCTTGTCTCCCCTTGCAAAAAAAAAGTAATTGTGCATTGAACCTTTTTGCTGAACATTAGAATTATAACAAGATATTTAGCAACATAGCATCTAGGTTTTACTTACATGGTTGTTAAAATCCATATAACTTAAGTGCAAAGTACATCAAAACCAAAATTTACGGAATTTATAGGGCAGATGGCTCTTCTGATAGGAACTTTGTTCATAGGACATCCTCTGAAAGAAATGGAAAGGGGCATTTAAATTGTCTAGGAAAGAAGTTTTCCATATCAGGCATACAAGACATAGTTTCATCTTTATACTGTACATATTAATATTATAGGTTGTTGCTTTTGCTTACCAGTTTGCGAATCTGGCTTTAGTTTTTTTCATATTGAATCTTGTTATTGGTACAATGATTTGCAAACATGTCTAGACATTTGAAAACTTTTTTTTTAATTTTAAGAAAAATGCATAACTTAAATAATCCATGATTCTTCAAGAATAAATTCAGATTTATATGTGTTGTAAATTAAATGTTATAAATTATTATTTTATAGTCTTTTTACGGAAAATGTACTGGCCCATCCCTGCATTGTTCTACGCCGCCAATGTCAGGTAAATGTACTTTCTATGATTTTCTAAACAGTAATCCTGACCCTGATTTGAAGTACAGACCTCAGATAAATGACTGAGACCATGTCACCATTATCCCATGTGACATGCACCAAAATCTGTAATATATCAGTTCTCAGAGTTTTTGGTCTTTGAAAGCTCTTAAGTCTTAAATATTATTGAGGTCTCCAAAGAACAATTGTTTATATGGATTATATCTATCAATATTTGCCATTTCAGAACCCCAAACTAGAAAAATTTCTGCATACATATATATATGTTTAATTAATTAAAAGATTAATAAACTCATTAGATACTGACATAAATAGCCTTTTTATGAAAAGTCACTATTGCTTTTTTGAAAATATCTTTAATGTCTGGCATAATAGAAGGCAGCCAGATTTTCACATCTGCTTCTGTAGTCAATTTGTTGCAACATTTTGTTTTTGAAAGAAACAAGAGGTAATTGGCAGATATTCTTTGATACTACACCAAAACTCAATAAGTGGTAACTTTTTAAAAGTTATTTGCAATGTGAAATCTGAAACCACGTCAATTAACTTTTTATACCCTGTTACATTAAAATCTATTGATTTGTACTTTATGTTGAATAGATTTTTTTTTTTTTTTTTTTTTTTTTTTCTCCGGACGCGCAGGCTCAGCAGCCATGGCCCACGGGCCCAGCTGCTCCGCGGCATGTGGGATCTTCCCAGGCCGGGGCACGAACCCGTGTCCCCTGCATCGGCAGGCAGACTCTCAACCACTGCGCCACCAGGGAAGCCCTTGAATAGTTTTTTTACGCGTGCATGCTTCTGTTACATCATGCATTGATTAATTGAAAAATATTGATTCACTGAATTATATAGATCATCTAAATGTTATGACATTTGATTTTACAGTATCAAAAGACCACCGTCATTAAAATCACTACCAGTCTCACCAGAAAAGCGTTTCAGTTTTCGTACGATCTTGATAGTGGATATAGGTTTTCCAGAATTATAATTTTTGCTTGTAAGCTCAAATTTATCATTGGCAACAAATACTGTTGTTGTTGTTTAATCAACAAACCCACTTTGTTCAGTTTTAAAAACATGTTGTCCCAAGTGTGAATAACTATATTCTGTTAGTTTTTATACAAAAAAATGGTGACCCATGAAAAAAGTGGTTAGTTCAGGCTCACAACTCCATCGGACAAGTTCTTTTCCTTATGACAGCCATCTTCATTATGCAACACACAAAATATTAATGAGAAAGATGATGTGTACTCAAGAGTCAGCATTTTATAAAATAAATGTGTCTTACTGCTTCACCAAGGGCATTCTTTAGGAAAAGTGGCTTTTGCCTCTTTATAAGTGAGTCGGATAAAGAATACAATAAGTACAAAAATATAGTTTGATGCCACCGCCTTCATTCATGCTACAGAGTGAGTAATTTTACCCACCATTGCTTTTGCAGTATTACTGAAAATGTCAACACAGTAAAAAAGGCAGATGATGCCTTAGTATCAAGAAAATAATTTTGAACTTGTCAATCCCCTGAAAGGGTAATGAGGCCCTTGAGGGCTAGTGGACCACACTGGCAAAAGCTCCTATAATATAAATTATCTTCTTTGAAAATTGAGTTAGACAAGATAGAAGTAGTTTAAAATTAAGCTGTTTATGCTTAGCACCAAAAAGTAAACATATAGAGAGAAAAAGCTATTTAAATAGCCCTAACAGTGTTACATACGCTAGAACAGTGAATTTCAGGCATACATTTTACATTGTGACAATATCACATTGTGATCCAGTGTATACTTCTATATGAGTAACTTTTTAAAACGTTTAGCAAATAATACCTTCAGAATGTATGATGCATTCTGATACTTTCTTTTTTATTATTTCACTTAATAAGTATTAGTTCTGACCCCCTATATTGATTTCATAATTTACCAATTGTTTGTAGCTTGTTATTGCTTGTCATTGGTATACAGGAATCTGCTGTTCCCTGAGTTCTTCGTGGTTCCTGTGTGTTAATGGCATGAGCACTTTGCCACACTGAATGTAATTCTGGTGTTTAAGGAAACATAAATATCAAACACCAAGGCCCTCTTTATTATATATTCTACATTACTATGTATATCACACATTGGTCTTCAGGGCTGTATTTGTACAACCTCATGTACTGTACTTATAAGTTATTTAAAGCACTTTCAAGAGTAATTTTGCTTATGTGTAATTTATGCTGACTTTAGAATTGAACTTTCATTTATGTTATGATTCACTGTATCTTTCATGACTTTTTATTTCTTAACAAGACAATAACAGAAAATTATCATGAAATATCTTTTTTACAGGTTAATTACCATGCTCGGCATTATCATCTCACTCCATTTACAGTCATCAATATTATGTACAGCTTCAACAAAACTCAGGTGAGAATTAGTCTGTACATTCTATTAAAGTTATTTGTAATGTGCCATTTTGCCTTAGTAATAATTAAAGCAACAGTAATTCCTTTTAGTTATTAAAGATATTGTAACTCTTATACTAAAACTAACTTAACATGATAATGACATCTTCTTGATATCACTGAATAATCAGTAAATTCACACCTTTGCCAAAATTAATTAAATATTAGGGGTATTTAATCCATATTAAAGATAATTAATTAATACGAGTGTTTATCTTCACCTAAATATAGGCCACCCAACAAATATTAAAATAATGATAGGACTTACTTTAGTTGTAGTTCTTTACTAAAATGTCATTTTGAATAATGCCTTACTGGAAAATATCAATAAACATTCAATATCAAGTTTTATTAAGACCTTTTTGGTTTCTTTTTTAGGCATTAACAGAAATAACCATAAATTTTGTTCATTTTAGGGACCAAGGGCTCTTTGGAAAGGAATGGGAAGTACATTTATTGTTCAGGGAGTCACACTTGGAGCAGAGGGAATAATCAGTGAATTCACACCTTTACCGAGGTACCTTTTTGGCATTTTCTCAGATTAACTTCATATTAAATATATGACAAAATATGATAGTTGCTAAAAATACCTTGAATTTGAAAACTTGCTTGAAGTAGCTAAGAGAAGAAACCGAGAATAAATAATTAATTATATCTTATGGAATTAGTATGTGATAAAGAAAATGCTTCCTGGTCTAATATCTATTGAGCTCTTTCAGCTCCTACTGCTATATATCAACAGTTATCAACTAAGGAACAAACCTGAGTATGTGAGCAATCCTGTTATTTAAGTGGCTAGCTTGGTGAAGGAGACACATGTAAGCAAATTTTAGTACATCATGATTAGTGCCATAATTAAACCCCTTTCAGAGTGCAGGGGACACTTTGCGTGGATTTATTGGCAGAGATTTTTTTAACAGCCTGAAATCTGAGCTAGATCTGGAATTATGAGTAGGAAATAACTTGGCAGAGAAGGAGAGCAGGTTGAGGTCACAGCATGCCCAATTTTATGGAAGTTGGAAGGTCCAGGTGATAAGAAGTGTCTTGTGCTTAGAATAATGGGCATGTGTGGAGTAGAATAACGTGAAAAGAGGCTGAGGTGCTAGACTAAAGCATGGTTCTGCCTTTGTAAGTGACTTAGGCTTTATTGTCTATGGAGTTGGGAATCTAAGGGGGGGATTGTTTCTTTTTTGTTTAATATATGGGTTCTTTGATCAAGGATTTCTCAAGTGGCAGTGTTTTTTTAAAACATGGAGTGTTGTAGACAGAGACTTATGGAGAACTGTTAACAGTAATCTAGGCCAGACAGTGAAGGGTCTGAACTATGGAATAGAACAGAAGGGAGGAGCTGGATAAACATTTATAAAGTATAATAGATAATTGGTTATAGATTGGGAATGGGATTATGGGAGAGTGAATTAGCAGCAGTGACAGATTTCTAGATTGGAATTCAGTTGGAGAATTAATAAAGAAGAGTAAGTTGGAGTCGGAAAGAAGATAAGGGATGTAACTGTCAATAAATGAAGTTTGAGGGACTTCCCTGGTGGTCCAGTGGTTAAGAATCCGCCTTCCAATGCAGAGGATGCGGGTTCGATCCCTGGTCAGGGAACTAAGATCCCACGTGCCGCGGGGCAACTGAGCCCGCGTGCACTAGAGCCCGAGCATTACAATTAGAGAGAAGCCCGCACGCCACAACAAGAGATGCCCGCACGCTGCAACAAAGATCCCGCATGCTGCCAACTAAGACCTGATGAAGCCAAATAAATAAATAAATAAATAAATAAATATTTTTGAATAAATAAAGTTTGCGATTCATGCAAGACATCTAGGGGGACATGCCTAGAAGTGGTTGGAACTGTGGATCAGAGTCTCAGAGACAATTTAAAGCTGGAGGCATAGCTTTGAATGTTGTGGCACAAAAGTGGCAGTTGAAGCTTTAGGATGGATGAATTTCCCTAAGGAGGATGTGTAGACTAGATGACAGAGAGTGGACCAAGGACAGAATCCTGGGCGATGTGTGGGTGCACGTGTGTGTGTGTGTGTGTGTGTGTGTGTGGTAGGAGAGGTAATAGAGGGGAGTAGTAAGAGATGTTCACAAAAAAAATTAACAAGAGCAGTAACCTGTAGGACAGTAGTGGCCTGCAGGCCAAGAGAGGAGAATCAGAATTGTAGATTCTTTTGGAGGGAAAGGGTAGAGAAATTGGAATGTTTGATTATGGGTATATTTTCTCCCTGAAACAGGATACAGGTGAAAGAAGGATGAGTACTGTGGTGGTTTAGATAGAGCATAAGAACAATGATAGACATTTGAGACAGTCACAACTATGAGTAACAGAAAGGGGACCTTACAAGGAATACATGAAAATAATGTTAAGAGATAATGTTGGAGATCATAAATTTGTTTAGGTGCTATTTGGCAGAACTCTCGGATTTTCTGTATCAACAGTAAATCCCAGGGATGGAGTTAAAGACAGAGTGGTTTGTTATTCCAAAATTGGCCCCTGGCAGGGTGAATTTTTTGGATTGACAAGGAAGTGAGGTAGTTGAAGGTGCCGCCACTAGCATCTCAATCTGAGAATCAGTCTTTGTAGGGAAGGAAGTAAAGGCAGAAGAGACTGATATCAGGCTTTTTGCCAGTGTGATTGCTTTCAAAGGACCACATAGCTTTGAAGTTCCTTTAACACAGCTTTGCTGAGTGTTACAGAGAAAACAAAAAATGTTTTGTCAGCTAAGTTTCTCTCATACTTAAAAAAATCTGAATTTCTGAACTTTATTCACCCCATTGTTTTTCATATCACAGGATAAGATCAAAACTTAGTACTTGTCATCAAACGTTGTTGAAGTTCTCCCACAAACACAAAATTCTATAAAAATTTAACAAAATTCAGTAATTTCTATACGGTAAAGAGTAAAGAATTCTGTATTTGCAGTCAGAACACTGTTGGTCCTGACTCTTCCACTTTTTAGTTCTGAGACCTTAGGCAAGTAACACCATTTCTCTAAAGCAGAGATGAAGTATTAACTTTAACTTCAGGTTGAAGGGAAGGGAAAAGAGAAATGGGAATGAGAAGGCACAAAATTTTGTGAAATTTTATTATCTAACTTTCTTACTCTGTAGACGTATAGACACATCAGTTGTGTGGGTATGTATTGTCTCTTGGTCATTTTGAATCTTATTAAAGAAGACAGAAAAGGTTATCTTTGTGGTATTCTACTTGGGTTAAATTTTTGTGGTAAATCTCACTCATTATTTCATTTATTTATTTAGCTCATACTTCCTGAGTCCCTACTATGTGCTAGGTTCTGTGCTAGAAATCAGGTATATAGTGAGGAGAAGAAACAAAAGGTACCTGTGACCATGAAACTTGGGATCTAGTGTAGGGACATATGTTAAGTAAAATAATCCCACTAATGAATGAATAATTACAAACTGAGGCTTGTTCTCTAAAAGAAAAGAATATGGTTCTGTGGCAGTATTAGAGTGTTAGGAACAGTGTCCCTAATTAAATGACACTTAAGCTGAGATCCGAATGGCATTCAGGAGACACAGACCAGTTGGTGCAGAGGCAATGCGGCAGGGAGAATGTGGAGAATTCCTGTAATTGAGGACACATTTTATAAAGGAGTAGAAAGCAGATACCAGGAAGAGC